ACATTATGAGATGTTTCACAGATTCATCATTGTTCTTTATCGTTGTGTCGTATTCCATAAAATAACAGACATTTATTATCTCACAGTTTCTGTGGGTCAGGGTATTATCTTACAGTTTCTCTGGGTACAATTTAGCTGGGTTCTCTGCTTATGGTCTCACAAGGCTGCAGTCAAGGTGTTTTCTGAGCTGTGTTCTCATCTGGACGTTTGACTGGGGAAGAATCCACTTGTAAGTTCATTCAGATTGTTGGCGGAATTCATTTCCTTGTGAGCCTTGTCTTCTTGTTGGCTGTTGGCTAGAGGCTGCCCTCAACTCCTAGTGGGTGCCTGCAGTTCTTAGAGACTTCCCACAGTTTCTTGCTACGTGGGCTTCCCCACATGGTCGCTTACTTCATCAAGCCAGCAAGGAGTCTTTTATAATGTAATGTAATCATGGAAGTGCTATCCCATCACCTTTGCCATATTCTGTTGTTTTGAAGCAACACACAGGTCCTATTTACGTTCAAGAGGAGGAGATTACACAAAGTTATGAATACCAGGAGATGAGCATCATGGAGGGCCACTCTAAAAGTCTGTTCACCATAGTGTATTCAAGGATGGCTTGATAGACAATGTGGTATTTGAGCAGTAGATTGTATAGGATTAGAAAGTAAGACAGATGGAAAGTCATGAGTCATTCAAAGCTGCCTTTGAATCCCCAGATAAAATGACTAGCTTCCTGTTCTGTGTATTATGTTTATACCTGTGTTCCTTTTTACCTTGCACAGCTATAGTCTGTGTGCGTCTGTCAGATGTCATGAGTCCTCTGGTTGCAAGATGGTTCTGCAAAAGTCTACAAGTTTTAGCATCATTAAAAACCTTGGCTGTAATTTAATTACTGGCTGGGAATTCAGCAAATTATTTTTAAAACTCTGAAATCAGTTTCTTTATCTGTACATGGAGGTAAAAATATTTACTTTGTAGGGTTATTATGATTTTTATACAGTACCTAGTGCATTTCCTGTCTCTTAGTAGGCATTCTGTATACCTTAGACCTTGTTTTATATATCTTTTGTCTTCATTCATATCAGTGCAGACATACAGTAGGAATTTACAGATTTATGTTGAATTGAATACTAAACTATAATGTACTATCAAATGGGAGTACTTTATTAGTTACATTATCTACAGATTTAGTAAAATACTGCTTGAACTCTAATTAGTTAAAAAAAAAAGAAGTTAAGTAGCTGTTGTTGCTTAAATGGTCTAAAGATACTTTTTTTCTTTTAATCTATAATAAAATAAGAATCTCCTAGGAGGATAAATCAGATTGATGTCATAAAACCATATAATTATTTTGTGTTAATTTTTAAAAAAACACATTTTAATTGCCTATCTTAAAAGTTTTACTCACTGTAAATCAATATGGACATATATAAGTAAGCATTATTCACCATCTTGGTTTTGACACTTGGATTTTTAAGTAAAGGACCTGCATATCCATGTACATCTTCAAAGCATTGTGTAGGCCCTTGTAATTACTTTAGAAATCTTCTTTGCATGTATTTCATCTGTAAGTATCATTACAGTTCTTCACTGTGAAGAATTTAGAGGTTCTTATACCATTCTCTACAAAACAAACGTCCCGTAATTCCAGTACTCTATTTTATATAACCAAGTGCTTATTTTGCTTTGTTTAGCGATCATGAAAAAATCACAAGCAAGAACTTATGCTGGATTTTTAAAATAGTATTTAGTAAATAATGACAAATGTTGATAATAAATGTATTATAAAATCTTTATATCTAAGAAAAGTTATATTAAACAGCTAACATTAGACATTTTGGTAGTTAAGTAACATTTTAGGAGATGAATCTGTTGCATTAATAATTAGCATAATATTTCAGTTGCAAAAACTCTTCAATTTAATGCACAGTCTTTTTTTCACTTAAGTGTCTGATAAGAACCGAAAGGTTTTCAAGCCAAATGAGTTATGTTTCTTTAGAAAATACCTCTCAGGTCATAGATTTTTGAATTATATATCCTTGTAATGACTATTTATAAAAAAGTAAACCCTTTAAAAATTATGTCTTCAAAATTTAAAGTCATTGTTATTCTACTTTAAGTTTGCTGATGAGTGGAAACCTTTTAATCAAGAATATTACAAGTGGGCCTTTACGTCTCTCTTTGCCACTAACCTACTAAAAGGTGCGAGTCTGTTCAGCTACATCTAAGAGCCTTATATGTCCATAAAAAAGATGTTACTCTAGGGATAAGACCTAAAAGTTACCTTAACATATATAAACTTTCATTAGTGTAATATCCTAGTTTTAATTCTGTAACATTGTATTCTTTGATATTCATTAATGTTGTGTATGTGTTTTTTTAAATAAATTTTTAAAACAGCTTTATTGAGGTAGAATTGACATATAATTAAGCATATTTAAAGGTTACCGTTTAAAAAAATTGACATATTATATACATCTGTGAAATCATCACCACAATCAATATAGTGAACGTTTCCATCGTACCCAAAAGTTTCCTTCTGCCTTTTTTTTTTATCCCTCTCTGCCTCTCCTGCCTCCCTTTCCCCAGGCAACCACTGATGTGCTTTCTGTCACTATAGATTAGTTTGCATTTTAGAGTTTTTATTAATGGAATCACACAGTATGTGCTCACTTTTTTTGGTCTGTCTTTTTTTACTCAGCATAGTTGTTCTGAGATTCATCTATTTTGTTGTGTGTATCAATAGTTCTTTTTCCTTTTTATTACTGAGTAGTATTCCATTGTACAGAAACGCAGCAGTTTGTTTATGCATTCACCTATTGATGGGCATTTGAATTGCTTTCAGTTTTTGTCTATTGCAAATAAAGCTACAGTTTTTGGCTATTTGAATAAAGCTGCTATAAACATTGTGTGTGTTTCGTTTTTATTTTATTTTCAGTTCTTATCACTTACTGATGATCATGACTATCAACTCTTACTATACAGCAACTTTTTACCACATCCCCCAGCAACTTGGTAACTAGGGAAGACTATGAATACTTGACTTTAAGCCCATTTCTTGCATTTTACCCATGAGGGATATTGGCTATAGGAAAGAAAAGATCTTATTTTGAATTTTGAAATCCTAACAGCCTGACCAGCATCATCCTACTTTTCATGATATCCCTAAATTAAAATTTTAAATGTAACTGAACTGAAACCTCTAGTCCTTAAATTAACCAAAGAGCTTATTCAAATACTTCCTTCACTATAATGATGTTATGATGAATATTTTTCAAAAGAGAATAAATGTTTCCTAATGGCTATATTTTATTTCCATAAGTAAATGTGACAGTTGAAGTCTATCTTACCTATCAAATTTTCTCTCAACAAGGAAATATAGAAAAGATCCCATCATGCCATACTTTAAAAAAAAAAAATTGAGAAACATTGTCTAATTTGTGTTTTTTATTATGGAAAAAAAATTTACTGTTCCCTTTTTAATTTTTTTAATCTCATGACATTATAGAGTTAACTTTTAGAAACAAAATGTTTTATTTGCAATAAAATTCCCACTTCTTGAAAATTTTTTCTAAGAAGTCTCTATTTTAAAAGAAAAATGTGCAAAGCTTAAAATTTTTGCCCCTTTCACTTTTTTGTTCTTGACAGTCTGTGTGGGTAGATGTATGTGAATATACACATTGATACATAAATATGTAAAAAATACCTATCTCACAACTACCACAGCCTCCACCAGACTAAATCCAGCACAACTAGATGGTGCCTGGCTACCACTGACAACTGCTCTGTTAGGGATCACAATACAGGGTCACAGAGTTGGAGAAAAATGTAGAACAAAATTCTAACTAACAAAAAAAGACCAGACTTCCTGGTCTGACAGAAACTGGAGAAACCCAGAGAGTATGGCCCCGAGACAACCTTTTAACCCAGTACTGAAGTCACTCCTGAGGTTCACCCTTTAGTCAAAGATTAGACAGGCCCATAAAACAAACAATAATACCCGTAGTTCAACCATGTATCGGAGACTAAATAGGCACACCAGCCAGGGGCAAGGACGAGAAGGCAGGAGGGAACTGGAAGGCTTGACAAATGGACATGGGGAACCCAAGGTCCAGAAGGGGAGAGTATTGACACTTTGTGGGGTTGACAACCAAAGCCACAAAACAATATGTGTATTAATAGTTCAGGGAGAAACTAATGTGCTCTGTAAACCTTTGTCTAAAGCACAGTAAAAAAGAAAAAACAAACAAACAAAAAAACCCTTTCTGAGGTAATAAATATTACCTTTTTATTATATATAATTACATTAAATTTACAGTCTATAAAAATGGAGTTTAAATTTTTAGGCAGTTTATTTTAAAGTAAGTGGCATTTCCTTACTTTGATGTTAAATATTTAACCTTGATGCAAATACATGCTCAGTTATATCTACTGATGTTTTTTCTTAAAAGGCTAATATTATTATATAACTTTTAATTTTTTACTGAGCTCTTTTATTATAGAGTGATAACAAGGGGAGTATGAGTCCTTTCCCAGTAGTTGTTGTTAGGTGCTGTCGAGTCAGTTCCAACTCATAGCGACCGTATGTACAACAGAGTGAAACACTGCCCAGTCCTGCTCCATCCTCACAGTTGTTATTTATGAGCCCAATAGAATGCTATATATTCAAGTATTAAGTACTTTTAAATACATCATTTTCCTATATTGAGTTATTGATTTAGGATCATTAGTGGATAGTTTTCAAATTCTCTCACTGCTTTTTATTACAGTTTAAAGCTGATTTGATTGAATGCCTTTTGATGTTCCTTCTGTAACTGTTCATTCTTTCTCTTTTTAAACTTGTAATGAATTGTGTGGAGTACGTGAATAGAAATCAATTTTGGTTATTTTTCTTCTCTTATGCTCCTTTATCTTCTTTATCAGTAGAAAGCTGTATTTTCCAGGTGAAAAGATAAGCTAACTTTATGATTTAGGTTAAGTTTAAAATACCTAATACCAATTTTTTTTTATTTTAGATCTCTATAAAAATGGACTCCAAAGAGCTAACTTTGTACCATTTATAGCTGTCCTGAAGGTAAGAAAAATCACTTACTTGTGTTCATTGACTAATATCATATCGATTGATAATCAGGGACGTTTATTGGATTTCCTTGGTTTTGCATCAAAGCAGAATTCATTTTGATATGTAGAGAGTAATAGTCAAAGACACTAAAGGAGGAAAGAACCTTTTTTTATATAGTATTCATGCATGTGTACACTGGAAAAATTACAAAATATAGTCTATTCTCTACATAAAACATTTGATAGTTTGCGTTTTATAAATTTTAATTTGAGGTTAACTTACAAATATTATAGTGGAATGTTTAAACCTACATATTTATTTCTGGAAAATGTTTAATGTTCCCTGTTTCCTTCAGTTTAATGGCCATTATTAACATGTTTTCCCATCTATTAAAGTTGCTATTCTAGAGTAGCATTATTACAAAAAATATTCTAATATATTTAAATGTGATTGCCATCAAGTTATCATGAAATTATGTCAAGTTGAGGCACATAAACAGTTTAAATATTTGTGTGTATCATCACTGCATAGAGTTTAAAATAGTCTTCATTACAATATGATTAAGAATAAAATAGCCTCCCTGTTCACTGTTAATTTTAAGTAATTTTTTTACATGATTATTGAATAATTCCACGTTCTACAAATTCTTATTGAGCACCTACTATGTGCAAAATGTTACATTAGGCATAATGGGTAGTATCATGAAATAGGCTGTGTTTCTCGCTTGTGAGTCATTTATAATCTAGTCTTGGACATAAAATGTACACAAATACCTGTAACACGAAGTAGATTGTATTCAGTTTCAAAAAGAAGCACAGTTCTATGCAAAAATATAATTCTTACAATTCTTAGGTACATATTTTTTCCAATTCATATCAACATATCTAAAGAAAGGATAAAGCTGTATATTTAAAAAAAAATCTTAAAACTTCAAAAATTTATTACCAATGAGGAGTAAAAACATTTTAGCTTCAAATATTCTAAACACATAGTCAGACAATCCTTTTGAAATACCCTTTAGCTGGAATTATTGTTGATTCCAAACTTTATTCCCTGTGCTATATTTAGGAGAATTCAAACATCTGTTTCCTTGACCAATTTTAGGTTCCCAGAGGATTTTAATTTCTCTGAGATATTTATAGATGTAGGGAAACATTTTTTGAAGATTTATGCTGTAATTTTTTTCCTTTATCTGCATGTTTTTCATTTGCGGAGAAGGTGGATTTGCAGCAGCTTCTCCATGCCAGGAATTCAAAGTATTATGGTAAATGTAGATAACAAAATATAAACAGGGAAGCTAAGAAAAATAGATGTTAAAAATAGTACCTATGTATAGCATAAAATGTATAAAATACAAAAAGAGAAGGCTCACAGAATGAAACAATTTAAGAGGTTCTTAGGAAACTGAGTTGCCCATCTCTGTGAACCTTATTTATTTACTTATTTTTGCCAGTAAATTGTCATACTTCACTATTTAGTAGCACTGTTAATAACAGCTAAGTTGGCCAGTTTGAATTTAATTTCTTATACTTTTCTACCCTTAATGTTTTTGAAGGGGAAGGAAAATCAAAGGGATGAATAATCAACAATTTGAAATTGAACATGGACTAAAATTCCCAGGAAATTAAATTCTAGATTGGATGAGAAAAGTTCTATCAAAAACCTAATTTATTCAAAAGACTTTTTGCATGTAACAAAACTGCAGCCTAGTGAGATGAATACTAGAGCTGGTTTCCTGGCACCCTTCTGGTTGGGCATATAAAGTTTCCCTTATAAGTAAAGGTTGTTTCATTTTAATCTAAATGGTACTTTGTATATTCACATATGCTAGTATTACTCTTTCATTTTGGCCCAGCTGATAGAAATATATAGTAGAAGTTAATCTTAAAACAAATAGAGAACCTTAGTTTAATAAGAAGATAATAAACAAGAAAGAAATCTATACAAGGAAAAAGTACATTGTAAAATCCATTTTTTCCCTTTATGTTCTCCTCTATAAACCAAATGATAGCAACTTTGTAATTTACACAGGAGTTTGTAAGTTGTTGTTTGGGGTATATAAAAACAACAAACACTTACATAAGCTTAGTACATTAATGGAGCCCTGGTGGTGCAGTGGTTAAGAGCTCAGGCTGCTAACCAAAAGGCTGGCAGTTTGAACCCACCAGCTCCTCCCTGGAAACCCTATGGGGCAGTTCTACTCTGAACTGTAGGGTGGCTGTGAGTCAGAATTGACTCGATGGCGGTGGGTTTGGTTTGGGTTGGTACAGTAATAATGATATTTTCATAAGATAGTAGGATGATGAAGGGAACTGATATGCTATTAGAAACCATAGGACTGGAGAGGTGTCTTAGTCATCTAGTGCTGCTATAACAGAAATACCACAAGTGGATAGCTTTAACAAAGAGAAATTTATTTTCTCACAGTCGAGTAGGCTACAAGTCCAAATTCAGGGCATCAGCTCCAGGAGAAGGCTTTCTCTCTCTGTCAGCTCTGGAGGAACTTCCTTGTGATGCATCAGTCTTCCCTTGGTCTGGGAGCATCTCAGCGCAGGAATCTCATGTCCAAAGGATGCACTCTGCTCTCGGTACTGCTTTCTTGGTGGTATGAGATTCCCATGTCTCTCTGCTTGCTTCTCTCTTTTATATCTCAAAAGAGATTGGCTTAAGACACTATCTAATCTTGTAGATCTCATCAATATAACTGCCGCTAATCCATCTCATTACATCATAGTGATAGAGTTTACAACACATAAGGAAATCACATCAGATTACAAAATGGTACACAGTCATACAATCCTGGGAATCATGACCCAGCCAAATTGACAGATATTTTGGGGGACACAATTCAATCCATGACAAGAGGTTATAGGAAATGATCATGATTACTTCCTCTAGCAAACATTTCTTTGCTACAAAACAAAACAAAATGAGAACAAAAACAAATCCTTACATATAATCCCCACTGTCTTTTAAATAGGGAAGTTCTTATTATGTTTTTATTTATACTTTCTTTGAGTGTATTTTGCCATTCTTTTTCTAACTTGTTATTGTTGGTAGGTGGCTGTTGAGTTGGCTCCGACTCATAGTGACCTTATGTATAAAAGAACGAAACATTCATTGCCTGTCCTACGTCATCCTCACAATCATTGCTATGTTTGAGCCTATTGTTGTAGCCACTGTTTCAGTCCATGTTATTGAAGGTCTCCCTCTTTTTTGCTGACCTTCTACTTTACCAAGCTTGTGTCCTTCTCCAGCATTGGTCCCTCCTGATGATTTGTCCAAAGTAAGCAAGATCAAGTCTCACCATCCTTGCTTGTAAGGAGCATTCTGGCTGTTACTTCCTCTAAGACTGATTTGTTTGTTCTTTTGGCCTTCCATGGTATATTCAATATTCTTTGCCAGCACCACGATTCAGATATGTCAATTATGCTTTGGTCTTCTTTTTTTATTACCCAGCTTTCGCATGCATATGGGTGATTGAAAAATCCCATGGCTTGCTTAGTCATCAAAGTACTATCTTGGCTTTTTAAGATTTTAAAGAGGTCTTTTTGCAGCAGATTAGCCCAATGCAATGTGTCATTTGATTTCTTGACTGCTGCTTCCATGGGTGTTGATTGTTGATCCAAGTAGAATGAAATCCTTCACAACTTCAATTTCTTCACCATTGATCGTGATGTTGTTTATGGGCCCAGTTGTGAGAATTTTCGTTTTCTTCACGTTCAAGTATATATATATACTGGATGCTGTAGTCTTTGATCTTCATCAGTAAGTGCTTCAAGTTGTCTTTACTTTTGGCAAGACAAAGTTGTGTCATCTGCATAGCACAGGTTGTTAATTAGTCTTCCTCCAATCATCATGCCTCATTTTTCTTCATATAGTCCAGCTTCTGGTATTATTTGCTCAGCGTACATATTGAATAAGAATGGTGAGAGGATAAAACCCTGACACACACCTTTTCTGATTTTAAACCAGGCAGTATCCTCTTGTACTGCTCAAACAATTGCCTCTTGATCTATGTATAGGTTTCACATGAGCACAATTAAGTGTTCTGGAATTCCCATTTTTTGTAATGTTACCCATAATTTATTATGATCTACACAAGCATGCGACTTTGTGTTGTTGATAAAACACAGGTAAACATATTTCTGCTATTCTCTTCTTTTGGCCAAGATCTATCTGACTTCAGCAGTGATATCATTGGTTCTTCTGAATCCAACTTGAACTTCTGGCAGTTCCCTGTCGATATATGGCTGCATACACTATTTTCTAATTATCTTCAGCAAAATTTTGCTGGCATGTGATATTAATGATACAGTTCGATAATTTTCACATTCCGCTTATCTCTTTGCTTTGGAATGGGCATATATGGAATGGGCACAGTTGGTTGACCAAGTAGCTGTCTTCCAAATTTCTTGACATAGATGAGTAAGCACTTCCAGTGTTGTATTTGTTTGTTGAAGCATCTCAATTGGTATTCCATCAATTCCTGTAACCTTGCTTATTGCCAATGCTTTCAGTGCAGCTTGAACTTCTTCCTTCAGTACCTGTGGTTCTTGATCATTTTCTACCTCCTGAAATGGTTTTCAACCAGTTCTTTTTGGTACAGTGACTGTGTATTCCGTCTTCTTTTGATACTTTAAGCATCATTCAATTTTTTGCCCATGGAATTCTTCAGTATTGCAACTTGAGGCTTGAATTTTCTCTTCAGTTCTTTTATCTTGAGAAATGATGATTGTGTCCTTCACTTTCAGTTTTCTACCCCAGGTCTTTGCACATTTCGTTATATAATACTTTACCTTGTCTTCTCGAGGCACCCTTTGAAATCTTCTGTTTAGCTCTTTTACTTTATATTATGTCTTCTGTTTGTTTTAGCTACTCTGAACTCAAGAGCAAGCCTTAGATTCTCTTCTGACATCCATTGTGGTCTTTTTTTTCTTCCCTTCTTTTTAATGACCTTTTACTTTCTTCGTGAAGGATGCCCTTGATGTCATCCCACAGCTCTTCTGGTC